TGTGCGAATATACCACAGCTTCTCTACCCATTCATTTGTTGATGGGCATTTAGGTTGTTTCCAACTCCTTGCTATTGTAAACAAAGCCACGATAAGCATGGGTATACATATATCTACTTGGATGTCATTTATGGTAGCTTGAGTTCTTTTGAGTAAAACAATTTCTTTCCATGATTTAATCATCATTTGTTGCTGCTGGTGGACAATAAATTGTCCCATAATACGGCCATATTTCCAGAATCTAGAATGGGTAATGACTAAAGATGACAGAAGAATTGATGCCTTTGAGTTGTGGTGCTGGAGAAGAGGCTTGAACATACCATGGACTGCCAAGAAAACAAATAGGTCTGTCTTAGGGTGAAATCAAGTTTCTTCTTGGAGGCTAGGATTTTGAAGCTCCATCTCACATACTTTGGACATATGTCCAGGAGGGACCAATCCGTGGAGAAGGACATCATGCTCGGAAGGGTGGAAAGACAGAGCAGGAGAGGAAGACCCCAGATGAGATGAAGATACAGTAACTGGGACAGTGGGGGTTGGTGTGTCGGAGTGAAACTGGCTCAGGACAGGGCAGGCTTCAGAGCTGTTGTGCAGAGGGTCACTATGAGTCACTGGCAACTTGATGGCACGTAATAAAACAACAGCATGTGTGTCTGACTTAGTGGTTCAAATCCACCAGCTGCCCCACAGGAGAAAGAAGATCAGTCTCCTGTTGTGCCATTTACAGCCTCTGACCAGCCACCGGAGGGTCAGTGAGGAGTTGGTTCCCATTGGACGGACAACAAGTTCTTCTAGAATAAAGTGCAGGCCAGCCCAAGGAGACCCATTCCCCTAGGGGCCATGTGGTTAGGGACCAGCCACGTGGACTGAGTCCCTAGCGACACCTCTGTGCTGAGAAGTGAAGTTCAGGCCAGAGGACACCCTCCCTAGAGCAGCTGTCTCGGGGCGGCAGGGCTGAGAAGCCAACTGGGTGTAATTTGGAGGGAGGGTGATGAGATACGAAGAACAGGGGCTCACAGAGAGTGAGTGGGCTCGGCCGAGGCCAAGACTTTGTCCTAATTAGGCACTGGTTTTGGGCAAAGCACATAATGAGTAAGCGAGCTGCCAGATGTGAAGCGGTGTGTGGCCTGTGTCACCGTGGGAGGTGACGGGGTGGGCACAGCTGGCAGCAGCAGAGGACAGCCAGAGACTGAGGTGCAGTAAGGAAGACACAGGCCCTGGGTGACACCTGAAACCAGCCAATCCCTTGCCAACCAGGCTGGGGGTAATGAGAC